ATCTATTAGGCAAAGCATTGTAAGCATATTCAATAAGCACTTAATAAATATTCTGACAGCTATATCAAAAGTTGATTTTAATCTTTTTCAAGGGTGGCTAYGGATATTTTGAGTGACACATGTTAAAAAATTTTCTAAGTGCTTATTCAATGTATTCACCATATGTGCCTACCTGATCCTGACTGATTTGAGCATGATAGATTGTATTTGAAGCAAAAGACTTACCCCAATCCCAAAATACCTTTATTTGCCTCCTAATCAAACCAAAATTTCATTTCGAACTCCCTAATAGATAGAAGCCATTCAACCCTTGAATTCCCATTATCCAAATACTTTTTGATAGATCAAACCCCACCATTACATCTAGTAACTCCAAAAATGTGCGGACTCACCAAATTTCACTCAAAAATACACCTCATCACACCTTATTCATTTGGTGCACTCTTATTGGTTTACCAGCTCAAACTGCATCACACCTTTCAGTTTTTCTCTTTGGTTTGTTTGGAAAGCTAGGAATGGATTTGTTTTTGAAGTAGTTCCAAACCCAATTTCTACTTTGTATGCTGTCCACTAGTGGAGGATGGAAGTGAGGAGAGCTTCCCTTCAAAAATTAGCCGACTGTTCTCATCATAAGCAGGGGACAAGTCCTTTTTGGAATGCTGGAATGGTTTCTCAGGTTGTAAAGCAATGTGTGATGGTGGTTTTGGATTTTGGGTCTCAAATGAAGATTTCAATTTTATTTTTGCAAAATGTGGTCCTTGTAAAATCTTGTCTGCRCTGTATGCAGAAGCCTCGGCAGTGTTTGAATCTGTCCTGACTGTCAATAGACCGGGGTTAAACTAAGTGACTATTTCCTCTGGCTCTATTAATATTGTAAATGTCATCCTTAGAAGATGTTTTGATCGTGACTCAGCTATTTGGCCGATCCTTCATAATTTGCATGATTTTTCTGAAGTGGATTTCAAGTTGATATTTGCAAAGCGGGACTTCCTTGGTGCAGCTCATAGGTTGGCAGCTAAGGGTAAGTGTGGTGCTAAGGAGTTCTGGGGATCTCTGCAGTGGATGCTTCCTCTGCTGAGAATTGAGGATTTGAATCGGGTTTCTGATTTTTCTGTCGAGATCTCCAAACCTGAACCGATAAGTAAGAAGGAACTTAAAGTTTTGTCTAATCAACATGTTTTCTTCTTCTTCTTCTTCTTCTTCTTCTTCCATCTTTTCTCTTCTTTCTCTATAACAAAAATAGGATTTCAGCCCCTATATTTCTAAATTTTCTTTTCTATTTCTTTTTTTTTTCTTCACTTGAGTATGTTGATTTTCTATATTTTAACATGAAACTTATACTTTTCTTATAAAAATTATGGATAATTATTAAGGAAATATGGTTATAGAATATAGGGAACTACCCTAGAATATATTTTTTTACTTACAAAAATTTCATTGCCTAGGCAATGACTAGGTGCCCGACTAGATGACTAGGCGACAAGGCGCCCCCCTTGTTGCCTAGCCTCGTATTGGCACCTTAAAAGCTATGCTTCAAAATATTGGTTATTTGGTTTGATGCTGCAGAGATAATTCCAAACTCACTAAGATTGAAATGAAAGCAGGGGTCTAATTTCTTAACCCTTAAATTTACTCCCGGTGGAGCAGCAACCGAAAATTTTATTCTAATGAAAAAGGGGGTACCTAGAACCTGACCTCTTGAAGGAAACCATACAAGGGAGGTTAGCCCAACAACCATACAATGGAACAGGAGAAATCCAGCCAACCTCCTACCAAACCACCCAAGATAACAAAAAGACAGCCAGCAATTATTTGACAAGTATGGGTCTAGTTACGTGTTCGTTTGATTTACTTTTTTTTTTCTTTTTTTGTATGCGAATTCATGGGTGGAAGAAAGCAACCTTGCAAGAAAGCTCATCTTCCAATACTATTTGAGAGAATGACCATGTTTAGAGGCTTCATGTTATCAAAAACAGCCAATGGTTCAATGCTTGGCCATGTTTAGACTTTAAGAGGCTTCATGTTATCAAAAGCAGCCAATGCTTCAATGCTTATTTCTTTTTTATTTTACTTTATTTTATTTTATTTTATTTTATTTTATTTTATTTTATTTTATTTTTTTTAGAGAGAGAGAGAATTAAATCTAAAGAATGAATCATTGATTGAGAATTTTTAACTATGAGATATTGATTGGCTAGAATAAAATGAAGGCATCATATATTGATTACAAAACTTTCCTAAATTACATTTATATTTTACAGAGGTATCAATTTACATGATTTAACTCAACAAATATTGTTGAAGACATTGTTTCAACTTCTGAAAGGTGACCGGCTTGGATACGAATGAGTCCATACCATTTGCAAGGCATTCATCTGCACTCTCAGCCAATGCGTTTGCTGTCATCTGCAGTTTAACCAACTCATTGGGTAACCAACTTGTGTAATGCATACATCACATGCAAATACATAGCCTAATCGTGTCAATTAAGTTTACATCTAGAATACCACAATTYTGTCACATGGAAGGATTACTATGCACAATTCAAACCGTCCATCTGGAAGGAAAGTAGTAGAGGACCCTCTGGATTGGCCATATATTCACTTGCCTAAAGCCCCATAACCCTCGTTGGAACCTTTAAGTCCCTTCTTTTGCTATAATCATCAAGTGATATTAAAGCTTCATTTTTTTTTTTTATTTAAGCAACAATTTATTTATAATATGTGGAAAGGGTTTTGTAGATGACATTATTTTAATTGATGAAACTAATGGAGGATAAATGCAAAATTGAGCTTATAGAAAAACATCTTAGAAACAAGAGGTTTTAAAATAAGTAGGACAAAATAGAATATAACATATAAATTTAGTAATAATAGGAGTGTAAATCAAGATACACTTAGGATTGGGACCATTTCCGGTACCTTRGTTCAATAATTCATAACAAGGGAGGGATTGAGATGGATGTTACCCAAAGAATCAGAGCAGGATGGGCAGAATGGAGGGGTATATTTGGACTTTTATGTTATAAGCAAATACCACTTAGACTAAAAGGAAAATTCTATAAAACAATTGTAAGGCCAGCTGTGTTGTATGGAGCAGATTGTTGGGTAGTCAAAAACATGTCTAGAAAATGAATGTGGCAGAAATTTGAAAGCTAAGATGGATGAGTGGAAAAACTAGAAAGAATAGGATTAGGAATGAAGTTATCTGTAGGAACCTAGGAGTAACTCCAATAGGTGATAAAATGAAAGAAAGTAGACTAAGATGGTTAGGGCACGTGCATAGAAGACCACCAATTGCGTCAGTTAGAAGAAGTGATTTGTTACACATTGCAGGGTAGACCAGAAATGACAGCCGTAGAAGTAATAAGAAATGACTTAAGCACTAATAATTTAACAGCGAATATGGCTTTAAATAGAACAGAYTGGTGAAACATGATTTATTTGGCTGACATCATATAGTTGGGATAAGGCATGAATGATGATAATGATGTTGAAAGGGTTTTGGTTTGAAACTTGCTCTAGTAACAGAGCATGAAATGCACCCAGTGGCCCCTCCTATTCCTTTCATCCTCTGTTACTAGAGCAAGTTTCAAACCAAAACCATTTCAACATCATTGTCATCATCATTATCGTCATCCATGCCTTATCCTAACTATATGGGGTGAGGTACATAAAACTTGTTTCACCAATCTGTTCTATTTAAATCCATATCTGTTGTTAAATTATTAGTGCTTAAATCATTTCTTWTTACTTCTACGGCTGTCCTTTTTGGTCTACCTTGCAATGTGTRACAAATAACTTCTTCTAACTAGTGCAGTTGGTTGTCTTATATGCACGTGCCCTAACCATCCTTCATTTTAAGAAAATAAATCACTAAGAGAACAAGCTTTCAAAAAGGCCCTAGAAAAGAAAGGGGGAGGACATCTTCAATATAACCCCCAAACACCCTGTTTTCTTACTCAAATGTTACTATATATAAAATTGATGCAACAAACTCATGGGAGGGCATACCTTGGCCTACAAGATAAAAAATCAAAAGAAGGGATGCAGAAACAAACCAATGAAAAAGAAGAAAATAATCCCAAATTATCAKTGAAAGCCTCCACTTTGAAGCTGGAGTAAGTTAAACATACCATACTCTATATGGATTGTATGACTTATAGAAAACTCTAGTACAAGTTGGGGTATAAGCAAATATTGACCGAAAGTGAATGCAAGGAAAATTAGAAGGCACCCCTATTTCCAATTGAAGGTTTAGATAGACCATGGAATTCCCATTCTTATGGAACAAACAAGTGGAGTTTGTGCACACACACACACATGAGCGAGAGAGAGAGAGAGAGAGAGAAACTGTGGGTTGTAACATGTAAGTTATGTTAATCAACATAATATGGATACAGAAGGTACCAACTGACTTGGTAAGGCTTCTGGCTGGTTGTAGCAACAAACCATTATGTGGCCAGATTGGGAAGGTTATGGAGGATGGGGTACACCCCACCCCATCCCATTATGTAGCCCCATAAAGAAAAGCCATTACTCAATGTTGGCCCAAGCTATCTGGGATAGCTCCACGAAACCAATTAAAAAAAAACAAAGCATGGATGCATGCATTCGACTCTCAAGTAGTTCATGAGCTAAGCCTGATGCAGCCTGAGTTCCCCACCAAATGGTAGGTGAAAAGAACACTAAAGTGTAAGATAACAGAAGTGGAAAGAGTAAAACACAAATAGAAATGAGAGGCATAAGGGAGAGATGGAAAGACTTTTTCACAGAAACTGAAATCCACTCAAATAAGTCATGTATACAAACCCCCTTCCACAGATATTTTATACATAGTTAACACCCCTTTTTCCTCACCCTTACTAATGGTAATTCAGTAGCTAACAAACCTATCTATATTTGYTTAATAGCCAAGGGACCTAAAAGTTTAAGTACTCCTCTCTTTCTTTTCCTTGTGATTCTACCTTGATTATAATTAGTCACCCTTAGAGGTGCTCCTGCATCAAATTCCATGCTCTTAATCTAATGGATATAAGGCAGCAACAGTGAATCAGGAAAATATGGAARTCACCATTCACTTATTCCAATAATGCAATATCGTTTACTCCATGATGTGAATGCTCAAGCACCCAGTGAACCTGATTGTATTGTGGCCAATAATTTACATTGCTAGAAACTATCTTATCATCTAGGATTAGAACAAACAGGTCATAAAATAAGGGTAAATAAACTCAGATGGTTTGGCATGCGCATAAGAGAGAACTCATTGCAGCAGTAGGAAGGAGCAATCCAATGCAAAGAAGAAATTGGTTGAGGTATTCAGAAAAGATCTAGGGGTTCACTATATGAAAGATGAAATGAGTGAATGTAGGAACAGGATTTGCACAGCAGGCCCCATATGATTTAAATGAGAAATTGTTAATTTACATACCTTGTCTTTTTATTGGTATAAATACAAAACTACCTTTTATTATAGTAGTAMCAAAGTTGTGCTACCTGTCTGTCCTACTGTGTCACTTGACAAATGACAATGACCACTATGCAAACAAAAGATAGAGCTTCAAGTCTAAGTAGTACCCCATGATGATTGCATATTCTTCTACCCTTCAAATGTATAGAGGTTGGATATCCACTTTGTACCTCTATCAGGAATTTACGTAATTCAAGCATTGCTTATAGTTCTTCCTTCAGTGTTATCTAAGTGTTGGGAAGTGAATTGAGAGCCAGACCAACTGCATCACTAACTAGGGACGACTAAGCATCGAATAGGTTGACTAGTTGATCCAGTCAAGCACAAAGTCAGTTTAAAATTTATTTGTTTGTTTATATTTACATTTTGTGATGGAACATGATTGGATGATGCTATATAAAATAGAGAAAACCATAAAATAAAAGAAGGCAGCAGAGGAGTTCCTTCAGGTTTTCTTCCAATCAGTGGTGTATCTGTATGCAGTTGTCACAAATAAATTAAATAGTCAAGGTTACACTCATTCTTTGGAAAAAACAAAGATTGTAATCCCTATTCTAGCCTATATTATAGTCTATACTAACATATTTATGAGATTGCATCAAAGTCTTAAATTTAGAAAACAACTTTCTTCTTATCAACTAGCTAGCACCTAGGCACCAACTAATCATTGCATTGAGTCATGGACTAGAGAAGCCAGAACTGCGTACTGTCCAAACCAATGCATATCAAGTTCAACTTTTCTCTATTGGAAACTAATACTTTAAATTAGATGACACTTGCATTGGAAGAGGGTGACAAGAAGAAATAATCATTCTCATTGTCAAATGTCAATTTTTGGTACATTCAAGGAATTCAGATCCAGCATTTGAGTAGATGGTCTTAACTATCTAGATAATTATATTCTTTTAAATGGTTAAAAAATGAAAAAAAATAGCTTTAGAAAAATGTTATATCATACTGAATACTTATTCCTTATGCCTCCTATAGGACCTTGGTATTAAATGCCATGTTGTGGGCTTAGGTTGCCCTGTTTTATTATGATGGATGCAGAAAAAATAGCTTCTTCCCATAGCCTGCTCCCAAACTAATGCTGGTAGCATACAAAAGAGTCTAGCTAATGAAACATATGAGAAAAGAAAAACGATAGCTAGGCAGGAAAAAGAGTATTTAATGCAAGCGAGTTAAAAACCTTTGTTGTCATTTTCCATATATTAAGAAGTTGCAACAAAGTGAACAGACATTTATAAGCATAAACTGCATCTCTTACCGCAATGATGGGTACCCGCCTTGTGGATGACGGTGCATCTAGACCATTTGATGATGAATATGAAGAAGGAAGCTCAATTCCAGCATCTAAAGCAGCATCCCAATTTCCAGTCTCTTCAAAAGATCGAATCAACCTTGTAGCTTGGAGGCCATCCATTACTGGCATGCAGACATCCTGCGTGCAGGTAAAGTTTAGTGTGTTGGTTGTTCTGGTTTTCCACACTGGAAAGCTCTACTTGGGTAAATAATAACAATATTTTACAACTACATTTTTCACATATAAAAATTTTATGCATTATGGAATATTAAGGAAAGAAAATTGGGAAGGTGTTTTTGCACTTGTTTCAAGATGCTTATTTCTCACTGTCTTCAGTAGCTCTATGTCTACTTCCTAATTGGCATCATTGTGTTCTAAATTATCTTGGTATTTATAACTTCCACCTAAATGCCTAAAACATTATTAACCAGTCCTTTATATTTCCCAACACATAGAGAATATACCATTTCCTTCCACGCATAATGCATTTAATAACTGATGAATGATTATCTTCAATTGTAGTTAAATGCAGCCAATAGCCTTCTTAAAAAATATTCTTTCATATTGCATTGAAGTTTTAACTTCAAGGGGAAGAACTTAACCACCTTGTGTATGATGAAAAACAATCTAAATGAATGATTCTGAAACTGCTTAGCATCCTCACAGTCCTTCAAATGAATAATTCTGTAATAGTGTAACTCCCCTATGTCCAAGGTTAGAAATTTCTTCTCGAAGTTGAAAAAATCTTGACCCCATTTTTTAAGGGAGTAAGTCAACCCATTCCCAAATTTGAGTTGCTATATCTAGACATCAAACCACATCTGATCTGAGGTATCATAAAAATCCATAATCAGGACGTTGCGATCATATTCTCCTGTTCTGACCTCAAAATGTGGATCACCCTCAACACAAAATTTGCAAAATAATGGAAAATTTCATCATTCACTGAGATGAGTAGAACTTAATACCAAAACACTATAAAATAATGAAAATTTAACTAAATAAAAATGATTAAAATAATCAAGACATTAAAATATGACTCTCCAAGTTGTAGAATAAGTTGTATCCACTGCTTTATGAACAGAGACAAACTAATTTATCAGAAATGACAAAGAAAGGCACATTAGAAATAACACTCAGTATGAAAAATATTATCCTATGGTAAGTGTATGTGTACTAAAATGGTGGTAGACCTTTTCATAAATCTAGCTAATTTTTAAAACAAATAATACAACCATGAGGTTTGAAATGATTACCATTAGAATTAGATCATATTTATGGCATTGAACAGCACGCACAGCTTCAACTCCATTATTCACAACATCTATGTTGTGGCCCAACTGTTTCATCATTGACTGTGTCACCATTACATTAATCTTGTTATCTTCTACGAGTAGAATTTTGGACTTAAATGTTGAATTGGGAAGTTCTGTTTTGCCACTAGACATGCTGTGGAGGCTTATCTTTGATTTTTCATGCTCCAGCCTCTCAAATGTATTTGCAGGCTTGTTTGCCTTTGCCACTTCACCAACTTCAGTGCATGTTCTTTCCAAGTGAAAGGTATCCATTCTAGAACCCTTAATTTGTCCATTTGAATGAACTTGGCATTGCTTGCCTCTACCAGTGGAATTTTCATTATCAGAGTCTAGATTCTGCTTTGATGAACTTTCAGGTTCAGATGATGTCTCTGCACCATCAGCCACTGAACAAGCATCCTCAAGTGAAGCTGTCTCTCTTGATGTGCAGTTATTAGAAGGGAATGAGTAGGATTCCTCTGGCAAGCCATTGGGCTTATTGGGAAAACCATATCCAATATTGTTTGTTGGTGCTTTTTGAGTCCTTGTAGATCCAGCAGGTGAGAAGAGAGAACCTAGGGTGCCTGGTTGAAAATAAAAGATGCCAGAATCTGTATCATCAATATTGGCATCAAATACACCTTCATGYTCATCCATGTACGAGAGTTCATCAGGATCATCAGAATGCTCCTCTTTGGGTGAAATTTTATAAGGTAGAACAAATGTAAATGTAGAACCAGAGTTCACATGGCTGGTCACATTAAGATGACCTCCCATCAACTCAACCTGCATCCCATGCATCCAGATTGTCAAGTTGAAAGCGTACGGAAAAATGTTATAATCATCAAAATATGTATATGCATACTGAAGCTTCATCAATATTTTGAGAATTGATTCCTCACTGAAGCATTTTTGAATTTGGCATATTCCTCAAATTAAACTATATTTTTTCAAAAGAGTCCACAAATCCCATGAACCAGGTTCACACATTTATTTTGCTATGATATACAAGCCCTACTAATGCACGATTATAAGGTCAAAGCAACCTATGATATTCACCACATTAATCAACAAATCATATAGGGAATCAGGAAATTTAGGTTCATCTTCTATCCCTTCTGGGAAAACTATAGGTGCCAAACTATTTCCATGGAGAAACACAGGCAAATTTGTTTTCCTTTTCTTTTGTTCAGACAGTATAACTTTAATACATTTAATTAGAGAGGGAAGGAAATTTATTTGGTATTACATATTTAGCAATAGTAGTGTATCATTATGATTTATGAACAAGATATTCCTCAATCAACCAGTTTTGCTACCTTCATTTTATAGTATGTTCTTATAGAGATCGAAAAGTATTTTTACCTGTATAATTATAGTGGAGTGAACAAAGTAGAGAAATGATTTGAGAACGTTGTTTATTTTCCATTCATCAATTGGACTAAAATGAAGAATCTTAAATACAGCTAAAGATTGTCAATGTCATAAGAAAAAAATGTTGAAAAGTAAAGAAAGAAAAACATAAAATGAGTGAAGGTGATCTCAGTATGCGCAACCAGATGAGTACCAAGACTAATAAGGGTAAAATTAGAAATGATTGTATTCCCACAAGCCTAGGTATTGACCCAGTAGATGAGAAGATGAAAATAAGGTAGCTCAGAAGTGGAAAGAAGACGTTTGGTCAGATCCAATGAAGAGTTTATCTAACCCARTTTGGTCTCCAGCTTTGGGGTTCATTAAACTGAACTTCGATGGTAGCAGCAAAGGAAATCCAGGCCGTCAGGTATAGGGGGAGTTTTCAGGGATGAAGAAGGTCGAATTATTGCCATGTATTCTGGTTCTATTGGATGGGGGGATTCTCTAAGAGCTGAAATATTGGATGTTCTGGAAGGGGTAAAAAGAGCCCAAGAGTTGAATATCAGAAAACTGATGGTGGAAGGTGATTCTAAGCTGGCTATCAATTGGCTGCAAATAGACAATTTCAGTTTGTGGAAATATCTCAATGAGAAAAAGAAAGTTAGACAGTTCACTCAAAACATGGAAATCAAGTTTCAATGGACTAAGAGAAGTGCCAATTCCTTGGCAGATTCATTGGCGGCCAAACAAGGGGTGGGAAGAGTCAACTTTTTCCGGGCAATATTGTAAACTGAAATGTACCTTTTGGGAGGGTTAAGAGATTTTACCCCTCCTCTTGTATCTTTTTCTCTTAATATCTTTTAATAAAAGTTTCTGTTATTTATCAAAAAAAAAGGTAACTCAGAAGGTTGTATAAACATTGAAGACCACTGGCTGTACCAGATGGAAAAAAGTGACCTGTTACAAGTTGAGGGTTTTACAAAAATCAAAAGGAGGCAGAAATGGACATGGGTTTGATTTGGTAGGGAAAGATAACAATGAGTGTCACAATTTTGCGGAAGTTATGGCCCTTCAGAAGAGTAGAAGGAAAAAAACAAGATTTGTATAACAAGGATAGAGAGAGAGGAGGGGGAATGCCAATAAGCAAAAAACAATGAGTTTAATCAACTCTTTGAAACTTTACCCTACAGACATGGTGGGATCATTGAAAAGGCACACCAAAAGACAAATCTGGACATATCTTTAGTGGGCCCACCTTGTTTGTAGGGTGGAGAAAACCAAGAGCTACATAAATCATTGTTTTCTAGCATTCCTCATATACATGCATATATTCTTCATGTAGGTAATATGTGTTAGTTTGTATCAATGTCAAAAAGTATGGAGTCACTTTTCCCCCTTTATATAACAAACTATGAACATCTAAGCTTCTACAACATTTAAAATTGTTTCTCTCAACTAAGACCCAAATATCATATTTTCCCAGTCATTACATAAATGAGAAAAGTTCAAACCTTCAAAATCTGCTAGCCATTTAATCTTACTCATAATGAGATAATCATTAAAGACTACAGAAATGGAAAAAAAAGAGTTTTCCATTTAGATTTATTCTTTTGTACAGACAATGTTAAATTGTTAATATAAATCAGTCAGGCATGTTTTGTAGTAAGTCATATATTGAATACTTACCTTAACAGGCCTCCCTACCTTCTCCCTAGAAAGTTATCTCTTCTCTCCTTCCCAGCTTAAGGTGTGATGTTTGTGATGGGAATCAAACCAAATCAGCTAGCAGATTTCTTCATTATGCAAGACAAAACTATTGGACATTTTGTGCAAGTTGAACATATTTGAGATCTATTTTGCTCCACTTGAGGAGGAGTATAGAGATAGTAATAATAGACATAAAGGGTATTTATGTAATTTCATCAATTCTTGTTATAATATTAATAAAAGAAGAGTGAGCCAACCTGATACTCACTCACATTTTCCAAATTCTTCTTATCTTTCTCTCTTCCTTTCTTCCTTCTTTCCCCTTTTCTTCTTGTTTCTTCTTTCTTACACTGAATCTAAGATCAGATTTTTTTTTAATCAATGAAAGGAAATTCCATTAATATAAGGAAAATTGCAGATTATGAGTAGCCTTGRCTATCCCACTATAACTTAATATGCCAACTACCAGATTTCACTTTTCATCCTTACAACTGAGCCCAAAAACAGTGTTCCCTGTTAGCCCCTTGTTTAGCTATCTGGTCTGCAAATCCATTTGCCATCTTGGAGACCACTGAATTAATAACTGCATATCCTTGGGTAGGCTTTTAATCTTTTTACCAAAAAAAACAAAAGATAGGCTTTTAATCTTCTTGATGTCATTTCTAAAAATCCAGGGTGTTTTTTCATTTTGCTTTAGCCAGCTTAAAACCACTCTGGAGTCACCTTCCACAACAAGCTTTCTCACCCCAATATCCTTAGCTTTTTGTATCCCAAAGACCACTGCTTTTAGTTCAGATGTAGTGGAGTCTCCCATTCCAATAGGGCCCGAGAACAGCCCCACCACAAGCCCATGTAATTTCTTATCACTCCTCCAATTCCAGATCTTCCCAGATTACCAAAACTCCTCCAATTTCAGATCTTCCCTATCCTTTGAGATCTTCTTTACAGATGAAAAAGAAGCAACTGTTCTTCAATTCCTGATAATATCATCCACAATAAAGTCTGAGAATAACTTCAGAGATTTCACCCATGAAGTCACCTTTATCGTGATACTTTCTATCAGTTCTTCCTTGCATCTTTTCTTCTCTTAAAAAATTCTCAGATTTCTTTCCTCCCACAACACTCATAGCACTGCTGCCCTTGTGCATCTYCATAGTGCTCTCCCTCTTCTTTTGGGCCATCTGAATGTAGATGAGTCAAACAGCCTTTTCCAAGCTTACTGAGGTGTCTCACCTGCATCCAAACAGATAGAAGAACCAATCCCAAATACTACTAGTAACAGGACAGGAGACAAGAATATGAAAAGCAGTCTCACCATTCGACTCACACAAACAGCATCAATTAGGTGGAAGGCACCAGTCAGGTCTCTTCCTCTGCATCAAATCACAGGTGTTTATTGCACCATGATAGACCTCCCAACAAAAAGCACCCACTTTGTGGGGAATAGGGCAACACTAAACTTCYTGTACAGGGAAGGGTACCCCAGGTTGGACAGGAGAAGACAAGGACTGGAAGGAGGGGCAACTGAAAGCTCCAGAGGGATGAAGTGTCCAAAACCTAGTGTCTTGTTTAGAAGTGTTTAGAAACACCCCTTCAAGCAGATGAAGTAGAGAGGAAATAGAACCCAGTTCTGAATCCTTCACATTTCAGCGATGTCCCAGATTCTAKGCAAACCAGACAGGGAGGGGGAAAGGATGATGAAGCCAGCAATTGGTTTGCCTTTGAGATAGGAGAGAGCGAAAGTTTGAGGGGAACAAGGTTTTTAACGAAGAATCACCCACCCACACATCTTCCCAGAAATTGATTTTGTTACCTGAATTGAGATCAAATCTGACATGATTGAGAAACAATGGAAGAAGTTTGTGAATTGCTTTCCATGGTGAGGAGCAAGAAGCCCTATTAGATACCCCAACATCCCAACCATTCTCAGATTGACAAGTTCAAGTATAAATTTTATCTGTATTTATTTGGTGAGTACAAAATATAGTAGTTAGAATGTTAAGCATAAACTACTATTGAAAGAAACTACTACAGTAAGAAGTTAAAACTCAAACCTGTGAATATTCAGCCTGATATTTCTCTTTAACCTTGAGCGCTGTAAAGTGTAGACTAGTTATATTTTATTACAGGTSGCAGTTTTCATTGCCTAGTTTCAAGTTTATAACATACACTATCACATGCATCTAAGCCTTATCATTATCAATTGTCAAAACATGATTGATTCATATAGATTATACAAGCAAAAAGTTGGAATCTGAAACATGTTGGAGGAAATATAGTTCACCAGCTGCTTGCAGATTGCAAGGCCCAATCCTGTTCCACCATACTTTCGAGCATGATCTGCACTGACTTGCATGTACTTTTTGAATAGAGTAGGCAATGCATTTTCTGCACATGATAATAGACAAACAAATCCCTAATTTAGATAAGAGAAATTAAGATAGAATTATAAATCAAACAAAATCCTGCAAGATAAAACAAAGAGTTGGAAAGACATTGTCAGATTCTTCAAGTAACAAACTGTTGCAATATCATAAAGATARTAATACGATACCCGGAATTCCAATCCCTGTGTCATATACATCACATTGTATCCAAACTGTTTTCTCACATGGGTGAGAAAGATTCTCCATATCTCCATCAATTGAAGTTTCCTTTCTACCTAATGTCCCAGGTCCTGAATCAGGGGTACCATTTTGTTCAAGACCTTTCCACCCTTTTTGACAATGTTCTCTTTTCTGGTTATAGCTACTTAGAGATGAAGATGTGTTATCTTCTTTCAGCATATTTCCTGAAACTGAAGGCTGATCTGGGATGAACTTTTGATGGCATCCTTTTCTGCTGCCAGGATCTAGCTCTGATACCACATAAAGGTTTATACCAACCTTCCCTTCATGAGTAAACTTGATTGCATTGCTGCCAGGAACAGAATKATCAATAGGTGCATAATAATGTGAAAAGAAATTTGGGTAAACTTGTCAAAAAGTTAGACAAATATCTAATAACAAGGCATGGGATATTTTTCTCTGGGATCACTAAGAATGTACTGCATAATGAACTRTGACTCAGCAACCTAGAACAACTTGTAGACCCATTTAATTAAGAATGTTCTATAATTTTGATCAGACATTTTCTTTGGTAATCAGAACTTTTAGCTTGAATTAAAAGCATGTTTGTATTTTATCAGCGTACAGCATAGTTCTTATGTAAGATAATAAGAGTTTACTATTAATTTGATCTGAGATATAAGCACCACATGAACTAGCTAACCAATGGTTATTCCTCAATGAACTAAAAAGCATTCCAGTATATGCATAATCAAAGATTTTCAGCATTGGATATATGCTTTAGAATAAGTGAGAAAGCACAATATATAATTTTTTTTCTCTGTTAATAACTAAACCCTAGAAAAATACCTTCTGATCTAAATGATTTCTTGTAAAAAGAATCGAAATGTATACTTATCTAAATGATTTCCAGCACGGAATTTACTGCATCTTCCAATTTTACTAAAATCTTGGAAAAATATTGAGATGAAAATTTTGGAAATYGGATAAAACCTAAGATAGAAGCATGCAATTACACTTCACTATATTTCCATTTTTTAGTGCTGSTGAAATATATTTTTCAAATGAATTGTTTGTCCTTCAATGTTCTTGCTACCCTCTACTAAAATTAAGTCAATAACTTTAAGCAAACTTATGATCTAATATTTTTAATTAAAATACCGTTTTCTTTAATCTATATGTAGACAATAGGGATTTGAACACCAAGAGTAGTACTACACAACTAGATATCTAATCTTGCCAAATGTTACTAAAACATAAATACTTGGAACCTTTCAATTATTTTGCATTGTTGAGGAATGAAAATGACTTTAAACATACTAAATTATATAATAGGATCTGCCAAGAGTAACTAAATCATGAACTGTTATTGTAAACTATTTTCCAAGTAAACAGAAAAAAACCACCTATCATTCTATCGGCAATGTCCAAAAAAGACCATGTAGCATCTTGTTTGAACCACAAACTGTGTTAAGACAATCTACCAAAATAATATGGGAATAATCATGGRCCTTTCTTAAATTCTTACCTGATCAAATTTGTAAGAATTTGTCGAATCCTCAAAACATCACCAATAACCTAAAACATGGATGCACCCCACAATGAGCTTTTATACAATGCAATGGAAGCAAGAGAAAGATCACTCATGCATCAAAGCAGTATATTGAAGGCATTGTTTGAAATAATGTTAAAAATGCAGTGGAATCAGGTAAGGCACCAGGACCTTTAGAT